AGGCTAATGTTTGACTCTCTACCACAAGTAGACGGATTATTCAATTTGTAACCTTATCAAGCTAGTTAGTTAGTGGAGATACTGACTGTTTTACCAGTTTATGAGCAGATTGTTTTCAAATTCAATTCTCTTACACAAAAGAGAAGCTATGTTTGAGAATTATATTGACTCAGTTATCCATGTAAATACATCAAAAAAATCTAGAATAATTAAAAATTAATTATTTGCTCAAGAGTTTTAAATTTCTTCCTACCAACCAAGTCTTGCAAAAATTACTGACAAACCAAACCAAGCTAAATCAATTAACAGGCAAACAACAACACAAAAAACATTAACACATCCATTCCACAAATACTCACCTTCTTTGCTTTCCACGCAATTTTGCACCTGTGCTACCACAACTTAGTAGTCAAGTATCAGGCTCTCACAGGCAGCAAACATCGAGATGACCCCAACTCATTTTATCGTATGTAAGAAGGACACAGTAGGTAATGTGTGAATAAAGAAAATTTCACCTTAACATCAGATATTTGAACACTAGCATAGTTGGACACTGGTGGCTCACACCTGTAATTCTACTACTCAGGAGGCATAGATCAGGAGGATTGCAGTTCGAAGCCAGCCTGGACAAATAGCTCAAGAGGCCCTACATTGGAAAAAACTATCACAAAAAAGGGCTACAGGTATAGGCCCTGAGTTCAAACCTCAGCATTGCAAATAAATAAATAAATAAGCAAACAAGACTTTTGTTGGTTTAGCTATAGATAAAGGCCATGCAAATATTGGGCATGGGATAGCTTGTTCAAAGTAAGCATCCGTGGAATTATCAAAATGCAACTCCCTTGTACTAAATGCATGCTAACAAAAAATGAATAAACACTGGGCATGGTGGCTAGAAAGCTATTAATGTATGTTTATCTGTGTGAAGGTGTCATATAAAGCAGTGATCAGAGCTAAGAATCCTATAGCTTTGCAACACAATGTAGCAATATCTATCAAAATTGCAAATGCAACAGTTTTTGACTTAATAATTCTAGTTTTAGCAGTTAACTCTTTAGATGTGATCATATATGTATGCAAACCTAGAGGTACAAACATTATTAGTGGTCATGTTTATAATGACAAAAGCTGAAAGTCAAAGAACATCCAAAATGTAAATTTCTATTCTTATTCAAATACACACACACACACACACACACACACACACACATCTGTTTGCTTACTGTGAGCCAGGCCCTGTGCCAATGTATCTGCTTATGTATCTATACATTCATATAGCATTTAATATTTTATATGTATACATCCGTGCATAACTTTATTTAATATACTACACTGTGGGTGATTGAATTTTTTATTTTCCATTTGTTTATCTATTTGCTTTGTAGTACTAGTGTTTGAACTTGGGGCCTTGAGCTTGCTGTACCTCTTAAGCCATGTGTTTCATGTAGGCACAGCCAAATGTGTGCTGATGTGAAGGGTAAACAAGACTTAATATTTTTAGCATGTTTACATGAGTATTTGAAGAGCCTCAGTGTTCTCAGTGTCCTGAGACCTCTCTCTGGCTTTCAGCACATGATCCTCTTGACACAGGAGACTGGAGAGTGGACTGAATGCCCCTGAAAGTTGCTAGGGACCCAGCTCCTGGAGGGAGGCAGGACAGGGCAGGGGGGTGGGGCAGGGCAGGCATACTTCCCGGTTGTCAGCTCCTCACAATAGCATCTTGGTGTGGAGTCCTGCCTGACTTTATAGCTGCATCAAAAATTAAGGCTTCCAGGACTAGAGGTGTGGCTCAAGCAGGCATGAAGCCATGAGTTCAAAACCCCAGTTCCCACCACCAATAATAATAATAATAGTAGTAGTAAAATAAATACAAAAATAGTAAAAAGGATTGTTGCTTCTAGCAAGTGCTAGTGTCTGACATTATTGATATTATACCCTCCAGACCAAATGAAGTGAATTTCAAGAGCTAGAAAGTTGATTCTGATTAATCCTGAAAGTCTTACGTTGTGGTAGTGTGGCACATAACTCCAGTAAAGCACTCAGTTGTGGTCCTAACCATACTCTAGGTTGGAAAAGGCCATGCTTCACTTGAGTATGCTCAGTGCAGTGGGATGGGAAGGACCACAGATTTTAGGGCCAGAGGGTCTGGGTTCAAGTCCAGTGTGACATCAGACAAGTCACTTCTTTACCTCCTTGACATGTAGTTTCCCTAAACCAAAAACAGGATGTTAACAATACCTCCTCCATATGGTTGTCACAGTAACTTAATGAAGTAAACCAAGTACTTAATGCATAACAAATGGTAGCCGTTATTATTACATTATACCTCAAGCTAAACTAAAGTCAACAACAATGTAGGATTTCTTATTGGTACACCTAGCAATGGGACCTAATTTTATGTGACAGATTTGTTTCTTACCATTAGAGAAGACTAGATCACTATATTTGCAATGACTCATTAGTTTATTTCAGAAATAAAAACACAGCTTGAACAGACTGGGTGGCTTCAGGGGAAAAGATGTAACTTCCTAGGGAAATAATAAAAGAATTTGAAATGAAAGGAAACCTGTGTGTGGTCAGTCAGATATTCTCTGGTTTATCAAAAGTATTCATTGCACCAGATAGAAAGTATGATGGCCCTGGAAGAACTGATTTACATCTGGTCTGGAGGCAACAACAAAAGGAAATGTTCTCAACCCTACCTTCCACACTGATTTAGGACCATGTCTATCTGAGCTAGACATGTAGGATCTCTGAAGACCTCCCTAAACAGAACTTGCAGAGAATTCTGGGCAATCCTAGCAAAACTCTTGTTTCACTTATTTTTTCTTTAGATTTTTCACAACAGCTTATACTTAAGTTTCTTAGTTCAGTTTTGATGAACTGAGTTGAAATGCCTCTGCCAAATGCCATGGCAAATCTTAATCTAGGACTCCTTAAGAAACAAATGGATCACTTCTGACCCTACTGGGGTTGTGATGCATTTAAGGCACCTGTTTTCAGCCTCTATTTCTCTAAGCAAATCCACAGAGTTATCAGAACAAATTGGTGTCCAGCATTTTAGAATTTCTTCAATTTATTACACATTTCTGTGAGTGTTTCCCTCCAGAGCCTGGATCCTAATCTGAGTCTCATCTTTAAGCCTCAGAAATGTCTGGAATTCCCTTAAAATGTGGCTATTGGGATTAGGATTTCCAGAGATTTGGGAAGGGAACTGTGTATGTCTACATATACATAGTGGTAACCAACCCTGCCAGAGAGTTCAAAGCATTCCCTATAACCTGTCCCAACCTGTTCCATTTCCCCCCACTTTCCTGGATGTAGAAATCCACAAAATACATCCCCATTCCCATTCCCTTACACTTGGCTTGTTTTCTATTGCTGCTGCTGATGGGACAGCAGAGCTTTAAATATCTGTATAACTCTTTAACAATTTCCAGCTTTTTCGCTCAGTTAACACCACACATCCTGAGGAGGTGGGCAATGGCAGCCTTACTGTGGAGTTGAGGAAATGGTACCTAGAAGTGGTAGGATGTGTTCAGAGTTCCAAAGCGACCTGGAGTCAGTGTAGGCCTTTATGTCCTGCCTGACTCTTTAAGCCATTTTCCTGTTAGGCCTGTGGAAACTACAAAGTAGCATTAACTGCTGAGATTATTTCAGACTTTGAGTGCTCTTTGGTCTTTTCCACGAAATAATCAACGACTTGAGGTCATGTGTCTCATTCTTCGGAACCTGACAGATTTGGTCCTGATCTCCATCTCCACCTCTGACTACTGTGACATCTAGAGCGTCCTATTAGTCATGTAAAATAGTGGAAATATCTACTTGTGGGTTGTTGGAAAAAAACAACAGAAACGCACTGACTCCTTACTAGGGTTCATGAATTAACTAAAAACAGAACAGTTTGGCTTCTCTACCTTCATTTTGAATTTGTCTTTGCTCTACGCCATTCTCTCTGCAGTCACCTTGGCTTCCAGGAAGGATAGAACTGATAACATCTTCATGACAAGGGTAAGAAACTACCCCTAACAGTAGAGCCTCCTCAGAATAGACCTACTAGGTAACAATGATTCTGGATAACAACATCTCAGGAAACCCTGAAGAATAAAGACTAATGTAACGACCAACCAGGCCACACCTGTGACTGGGACAGTTTTAACTCTGTACACATTCTGTCCCCTGCCTTAATTCTTTGTCTATTTAAAGCAAAAGCTCATGTCTGTCCCCTGCAGATGGGCTGAGTGCGTTCTTCGCTTCTTCCCATGGAGCGTCCCAAGCTGTATAATAAATCTTTCTCTACCCTTCGCCACTCCACCATGTCTCTTTACTTAGCATATTGAAGCAAGTGACCAAACCTGACAGATGGAAGCCCAGGAGTTGGGCCTGGTATCCAAAACTCTTGATTTCAGTAACACATCTAATCCAATGCGCGGACCACTACAGACATTCAATGGAAAGTATCTAATGCCACTTACCACAGGTGAACCATGTTTTACCTGTGCACCAATCTGGGCCTCTTTCTTCCGGACCATTTGTTTCCTAAAACCATGGCTCGCAGAATGGTTCAAGTGGTAGAGTGCTTGCCTAGCAAACCTGAGGCCCTGAGTTCAACTGCTGCCTCTCCAACCATCAAAAAAAAAAAAAAAAAAGCCAAACCAAATCTTTGAGTAGAGAGTTCGAACCCAGAGAGCTGGACTTCAGGACTAGTGGTTCTTAAACTTTAAAGTTCATAATAACCACACAGAGGGTTTTTAAAAATAGCAATTACTATGATCCATCCCAGAGTTTCCGATTTAGTAGATGTGGATGGGGCAGAAAGATCTTCATTTCTAGCAAGTTACTACACTAGACCTAGGCTTGCCAGAGGGCTACTAAAGACGAGAAGTCAAGTTGGTTCCAACCATTATGACTTTTGGAGGTGAGCAGTCTTCTCGAGGAAGCTCCTTCTAAGGGCTGTCTCATCTCCCCCTTACCAGCCCGCCTCTCCCAGCGCCCTTTACCTTGTAGACATTGATGGGGATGTCAATGATGATATGCAGCAGGTCTCCCAGAGCCAGGCTGGCGATCAAGATATTGGGGCCATTTCGCATGCACTTGTTCTTGTAGATGATTCTCAGCAGCGTGGAGTTCCCAATGATGCCCAGCACGAACACTAGGCAGGCCACAACCGTGTTGATGTATTTGAAAGTCTCCTTGATCTCGATGTTTCCTTGGCACTGGGGAGGAGAGGAGGCTCGTGGCCGGCCTTCAGCCATCTTCCCTCCTTTCGGGTCCTCCGCAGATGCTGACGACCTTGGCAGAGTGAAGTTGGAACCACTCAGCCAGGAGGTGTTAACGGGTCCCGTCATTATCTCTTTGGTACTCAGAGACGACGGAGTGGCTTGGGCAGGCGGGAGTCCTTTCTCCTTTCCCCAGACGCCCATCACCGCACAGGCAAGAACCAGCGCCACCAGGGCGCGTCCGCCCAGGCTTGGCGGCGGCTGCATGCTACTGCTTGCTCCAGTGGACGTCCGGTGACTGCTGCGCTGTTTATAGTCTGGAGACCCGCAGGGGGAATGAAGACAGGACACTTAAATAGTCAGCTAACACCGCCACGCCTCTGCAAACACTAGCGCAAAACTCAGCCGCGCGCCACCACCCGCCCCCAAAAGTAACTTAAGTTTGCGCGCCAATGGAGAACTTTGGCACACCCCACCCGCCCGTACGCGTTAAATCTCCTTCCCCAACCCTCTCGCAATGTTTTTCTTCTCGTACTTTCCGCCTGGGATAAGGGTGAATCACATAGGGGGGCGGGATATTCTAGAAGCGGTGTGCCAAAGAAGGAAGCAAAGCTCTGAATACTTCTGCGTGCCGGGAGGAAGACAAGCATGTTTCAGCTAAGCCTGGGGACCCGGAATCAACGCACCTAGAGGTCAAGTGCCGCGTCAACATCTGCATCTTAAGACACCCAACGTAACGTCTCAGCCATCTCAGACACCGACGTCTGAACTCCCCGCTGGCTGCGCAGTGGTTACCCCCGCGCGCCCAGGGGTGAGCTGGAGGACTCGGAAAATCGGAGCCTTCTCAACTCAGTCCGATTTGGGAGAGTGTCAGCATCAACCTGGACACTTCTGACTCTTCTAAGTGACTTTCAACACTCACGCACTCTCCTTTTACCCCAACTTCATTTTAATTTATGTGTATGTAGGTATTTATTTAATTTCCAAACTAGTAAGCAAAGCGGAAGCCCAGAGCAAGGATCAGTCACTGATTTTAATTCAACATCCAACCAGAATGGTTACCTCGCGGATCGGACGCAGCAGGCGCAGAGCCACCAGCAGGGACCTCGTTCCCGGGACGCAGAGCTGCAGTGCCGGTGCACAGGGCGCGCGGCCCCCTAGGCAGAGCAACGCCTCCTTTCAGCTGCAGGCGGGTCTGGCTCTGACGAAACGCTGAGAGAATGCCAGTGTAGCCTCCACAGATCGCTCCGGGTCTCCGCTGTCCTCAGACAAGTGCTTGTATTCATTCGTCCCTTCCCATCAATCACCGCCAGACTCCTCCTGCGCTTTCCGACCGCGCTGCAACCTTTTCCCCTTGGGCGATGCCTGGACAGCATCAGCCCGAGCTGCCCGCTGGAGAGGGCAGTCCTCGGCCAGAGACGCGTCCCGTGAGGCTGTTTATTTGTCATAGTTCTTTCAAAGTTCTTCAGGCGAACAGCCTAAAGTACCCCATGACTCTCTGGGAACTCCAGACTAGAGCAAACCTCTGTGTTAAACGTGTTAGCCTAGACTTAATGTGGTCTGAGACGTTTCTTTCTCATAAACGTCCCTGTAATATTGCAAGCATTCTTGGTTTGGGGGCGCTCCTCTTTGCTTTGTTTTCCATGAGGTTTCTAGTCCACAAGGGCCCCCAACACGGAAGCGCACGACCCTTTCTCAGGCTCAGGAGAGGACCTCCCTCATTTTCTCCAGCTTCCTGCTGGTCTGAGGTGTCAGGTCAGGGATTGTTGTACTGTGCTCTAAGGGTACTGTACCTAATACTTACGGGATACATGACAATAACCAGAAAGTTGCCATGCAAACTCAACATGGTGTTTATTCACCAGGCAGAGCAATAAAACCAATTCTTCCCATCCATCCTTTTTTAAAAGAAATATTTTTGAGTTCTTTATTGTTTTTAATTATATTATTGTTGTATTGGGGCACGTTGAGACACTTAACAAAAGTTCTTACAATATATCATAAATTCCCCTCTCACCCCCATTCCTGGAATAGTTTCAACAGGTCTCATTTTTCCATTTTCATCCATAATATCTCCATCATAGTCACCTTCCTGTACCCTTTCTTTATATCCTCCCCCATCCATCCTTGAGCTCCATTTTTAAGGGCATAGAAGGAAATAATATTGGCTGGCAATTTTGCTCACAGAGTGTGAAAATTTTAGAAATTTGGATAGAAATTCAGGCTGTGAGGTGCACTGGCTGTTACTCTGCTGTCCCCCCACCCTCCAATTCAGCAAAATCCTGGGAAGTGTGACATGCAGAAGAAAACCATTCCATATACCAGTTTCACCCAAACACTAAGGCGCTTACACATTTTTGGCTTCTCAGTTAAGTTAATGGTATAGGCAAGACTCAAATCTTGAAATATTGGCTCCTGTCAAATGCTTTGTGAGAAACTAGAAGTGGACAAGCAACTTCTATTTTAAAAGGTGAACTTTAAGTGTGAACTATAGTTAAGAGCGCGATTAAGGAGTAAGGTTAAAGGAATGAGAAATATGGTCTGAGTGAGAGTGCTAATTCCAAATCTGGCTATTTTGAAGGCAACACTTACCCTCCTGTGTCAGTGAAGACAAGGTCCACATTCAATTGCTTCACATAGGAGTCACGTAATAATATAAATTGTTGGATCCATGAGGAATTAGATGGGTGCATTTGGAGGATGGATGTTTTGCTCAGTTGCCTCCACGGAGGGCAGTTTTGAACCCGACCTCCTTCCTTTGAACCCGACACAAGTCTTCTTCCCTCTCATGCACATTTCTCCCTGCAGTGGTGACTTTGTTTCCTCCTCTCCTCATCTCGCTCATCATCATCTCCATTCATAACCACTACATAGCACTTTTTTGCTATTGTTGTTCACAATTTAGCACTCGATCACATACAGACTCTGGGTCACTGCTGATTTTATGTGAATTAACTCCTTTTTCAGGATAAAGAGTGAATTCTCTGTTTATTCTGTTTCATCACAACACCTGCCACAAGAAATACTTTCTAATAGAATATTTTAAATTATTTAATTATACTTTAGCAATTGTAGTTATAGAACTCAAAAACAAAGCCAGATAATTTTTTATTGTTTATTCTTTTATTCATATGTGCAAAATTGTTTGGGCCTTCTCTCCCCCCTGCTCTCTGCTTCCTCCCTTTCCCCTCAACCCCCTTGCTTCCAGGCAGAACCTGTTCTGTCCTGTTCTCCAATTTTTCTGAAGAGAAAACATAAGAGATAATAAGAAAGACATAGTATTTTAGCTAGTTTGAGATAAAGATAGCTATACAGAGAGATTCCTAGCTTTGCTTCATGCACATGCATATTGCAACCCACATTGGTTCATCTCTATCAGACCTCCTCATTACTTCCCCGTCACCTTCCCATAGTGGTCTCTGTCAGTTTAAGATTACTTTATTCATTCCTCTGCAGTGGGCACATCAAACACTTGCAAGTTTTGGGTTTCCTACTTTTCCCTATTCCTCCTGTATGCATTCTCCCCTTAGTATGTGACCCATGTCCAATAATATTACTGCATTTGTTTAAGTCTGCATATGAGGGAGAACATGCAATTTTTGGCCTTCTGAGCCTGGCTAACTTTGCTTAAGAGGATGTTCTCCAGTTCCGTCCATTTACTTGCGAATAACAAAATGCATTCTTCTTTGTGGCTGAGTAAAATTCCATTGTGTATAAATACCACATTTTCTTAATCCATTCATTGGTAGTGGGTCATCTTGGCTGTTTCCATAACTTGAAAGCCAAATAATTTTAAGGTAAATATACCCATTTCTCATTTGGAATTTAAATTCCAGTATAAGAGGTATATGGGCTTTGCATTATAGGAACTATTGCCTGTACTAGGCACTTATCCACAGGAGTTCATTTATTCTCTTACGGAAGTGTTTGAGTTCCTCATTATGTTTCATGATTTTGTAGGTAACTTTGTAGTGAATTGTGAGGGAAAAACTGACCCCATACACATGGCCTGAGTGCAAAACAGTGAGGCAGACAGATCTTTGACCAAGAATCTTTTTTTTTTCCTTTTGCTTTTACTCGTGTTTTGGGTAATACTGCTATGGATATAGCTTGTTAAATTCAATTTAGTTTTTCACCATATGACTTGAAATCTGTTACTGATCAATTTTATTTGTAAATTCACCAGTAGTTAAGTACCATGTACATTTCATTTGTATATATGAGCAAAATGTTGTATCAGCGTTTAAGAATCCTTTCCTAAAAACATCTGGGTCTGAACTAATTTTCCATTTACGAAGGGTTAAGGGGGGTATAATAAACATGGATCTTTTAGCAAGGTTTTGCTTTTTATGAAGAAACTGCTTCACTAAGTGTTCTATGAAATTTGTAAAAAATTCCAAAATTGGCTAGTCACCTTCTCAAAGTCAAGAAATGTCTGGAGTAATGTCTCTGGTATCTCTTTAAAATGCTTTTACTAGAAGTCCTGAGACAGGTTGAAGGCACTCAGTAATTCATTTCCTCAAAAGAGGTTTTGCCATGGGGAGCCCAGCCAAAGAACCTTTTTCCCTGGTAAGAGAAAAGAAGCACCTTTAGCATGGAAACCCCCTAACACTTTCATATAATCCTCTTGATATGAATATAACCCTTCAAAATTTGACCTTGAACTCTCTAAATGCATGATGCTGAGGGACAAGGTGTGTGAAAAAATGCCAGACAGAATTGGTTCATTGCTTTTCAACATTCCCCAAAGGACCAGAATCATGATCAAATAGTGGTTGAAGTAAGTAATAAAAAAGATTTAAAATAACTGCAAAAATCACATAGCAAAACAGCATCACCACTATTTCTTGGAAATTTTTTTCTCTTCAATATTGCATGACTGAAGCTGTGTGGATTTTTAATGTTAAGGATTTTTAAAAAAATTAAGTATAATTATATACAGCTAGATGGAACAGGCTTGAAAGAGGGCTGTATGCAATTATGTATACAAGCAGCATCACACCTAAAGGGGCTTTTTTTGAAAATGCCATTTATTCCTTTGCAAAAGTAGCAAAACCTGAATATTTTGGATTTAGATACCATTTTCTATTACAATTTTCAGTAAGACATTGTTTCCTGCTTTAATCAATTTTTATTTTATTCCATTATCAGCTGCTATAATTAAAATACAATCCAATAATTAAAAAAGTAATGTTTTTAAAAGTATATAAAATTTGAAAAAATTAATCAATAATTATTGACATTATCTTCTAAGTTTCACTCCATGCTTCAGAGAATTAAATTGGTAGCTAATAAAAAACCATAAGAAAAAACACAACTAATTCTTTTTGTTGTTTATAGGAAAATATGAGACTTTAGGAAGGCCACAACTTCCTTCCTTCTAGAGTTCAATTAACTTTACCATGTCTACACTACCAAAGGGTAATGATTCTACTTTCCTATTACTTAGTAATTTTTATTTTCCTGTGTCTGATTTATTTTTTTTTACCAAACCTAAATTAAAAAAAAAGTATTACCTTGGTCTACAAATTTAAAACTGTGTTCACAGCACTCTCTGGGTAAAATATAAAAATTATAATTAGAAATTACAAATTTTAAGCAGATGTGTGGTGTCTTTTGATTAATCAGTGCACATGCTATTTTTAATATAAATTATTTTAGATCCATGAAATCATGGCAACAAACACTAGTAACTTTATGTTTAGAATGTCTCTATCATGTGGTAAAGCACTCTTTCAGGGACTATTTTCACAATGAGTATAATTTATGATGAGTTTTTATACAATTCCTTTGCAATTGTTTTTTTCTTTATTTTCACCTTCCTGTTTCTATTTTTTCAATTAACTTGAATAGAGTGTAACAAAAGAGATGTGAATAGTAAAAAGAGGGTTATAAAGAAACAAAAAGAAGAATGAGGGTTTTTAAATTATCGGCAGTGGTTGAGTAAAGGAAAGTCAACTGTTTCTAAAGAAAGGAAAAGTTCTTTGCCATTCAGAATAGAGTATCCTAGGAGACAGCAAAAAGAATTTCCACAACAGACTTTTTTCCTTTTTAAGCAAATGCTTTTAATCAATGGAAATTTTATATCTTCATTCTGCTAGTTATTAAACTCTCCTAATGGAAATGTTTTCAGACTAAAATGTGGTGAACAGCTAGAA